AACTTCCTAAAGCAATCTATAAATGTAGAAAATTTTACTGTAACATTATTATTTCTTCTTGGAATATCTTGATTTATCTTTTACTTTCTTTCTTTCCTTCTTTCTTTCTTTTTTCCTTTCTTTCTTTTCTTCTTTCTTTCTTTCTTTCTTTCTTTCTTTCTTTCTTTCTTTCTTTCTTTCTTTCTTTCTTTCTTTCTTTCTTCCTTCCTTCCTTCCTCCCTTCCTTCCTGCCTTCCTTCCTTCTTTCTTTCTTTCCTTCATTCTTTCCTTCCTTGCTTTTTTCATTTTGTAAAGGACATTATTATCTTTTTTGTACATTTTTTATTGTAAAAATTCTGTACAGAGGGGTTACTGTTACATGAGCTTGGTAATGAGTACATTTCTTATCGAGCATTGTTGCCTCCGCTTTTGTTTTTCCCCTACCATTCCTTCCCTTCCACCTCCACAACTACTCTTCCCCCACCTCCACCCTACTGAAGTAGTAAGTTCGTTTTCCACATAGTGTTGTGTACAACTCATTGTTACAATGAATTCTTTCTTTCTTTCTTCTTTCTGTCTTTCGTCTATCTTTTTTCCTTTCTTGCTTTTTCTTTCCTTGTGTCTTATCTCAAAACTTGGATGCTGAAATTTGGAAGACCTTTGAGCACGTCTAACACACTCCCCAATTATTACAGAAATCCAACTTACATATCTTCACTATTACACACGTTGGTCATGGAATATAGTTTTTAAGAACCAGGCAACTTGACATTAGAAATAATCTTTACAATTCTACGGCTGTAGAATTTTCCATTTTTCAAAAGCTTTTTTATTTCAAAGATTATTTCTAATGTCAACTTTCTCAATGTCTAGACCAATTATTGGATTATAAAAAAGTATAAAATAAAGTCCAACAAATAATCTAGACACAGATAGAACCCCGTAGAGAAAAGATCATATTGGTTAGTAAACTTCTGTTCAATATACAATGTTGTGAATATAAAGAATCCAAACCTTTTAGCCTTTCTGAAAAAGGGACTAGGGAATAAAGAGTGAAATTAAAAATAACTGTTAAAAACAGACTTCTTGGAGACCAGAAAATGACACAGTAGGACACAGAGTTAACATGTCTCAGGAGATAACACAGCTTCACTCTGTTTACTCACTGTAGCTAGAATCCAAAGACTAAGGACATTCATGAGCCCAAAGGAGCTCTCTCTCCTTCATATATTTAATATATATTATCAGTTTCCCCATCTCTCTGTATCCATATCAATTCTGTCTAGTTCTTTCACCAATAAACTGAAAAGTATGTCAGAATATATTTAATCTCACTGCAGAAAATAAATACATGTTGAGAAGTCTGATGTGTTTTCCTTTTTCCCCCAATAATCTTTATTGAAAAGGTAATAGCAAGGGGGTTAGTTACAGAAGTAAAGTAATGAGTACATTTGTTTTTAAACACTGTTACCCCATCTGTCATCTTCTCCTACTTACCCGTTCCTCCTCCCCTCCTCCCCAAGTTGTAAGGTTCATATCCAACATAGTGTCAAGTATCAGTGTGGTATTAGTTCATTTTTTGTCCTGCTGTTTCTGTGATTCTCTTTCCCTTCCTCAGATCAAATAATCTTAAATATACAAGACACAAGGTACAGAAAACTAAGAGAAACAAACAAACAAAAACTACTTAGAGGACATAAGAACCTCTTGTTTCCATATCTTGGAGTTCATATTTATATGCTTCCTTATATGTGGTTTTATACAATGAGCAATTGAATTATTGAGATTCCTTGTTTAGAATATCATAGACATGGCCTAGTTCTTACAAATGAGGAAAACCATGCTACCTACTTTTATTTGGGTCTGGCTTACTTCACTTAATATAATACTGAACCACATTTCTTGTAGGTGGAGATGGGAGGGAAAAACTGGGAGAGAGCAATGGAACAGGAGATGTGGTTAAAAAAGAATTTTACTCATTACTAATTACCTGATTCATGTAACTGTAAATCCTCTGTATGTCAACTCAACAATAACAATGAAAATAAAAAAAATTGATAGTAAAGAAAAAATAACAAAAGGAATTTCAGAAGGGATAAACCACAGACAAACCATAGTCAAATCATAGCTGCTACCTTGTAAAAAGGGGGCTCTAGTATTCTTACATCCCATGTACAGTTCCTGATTAATGATAGTTTAACTTAAAATATTGACATTTTGATGGTATGAAAATGAAACTATACTCCAAATTCCAAATTTTAATCTTTTTTGTGCACAACGCTAGGTGATCCAATATTCTTTCATGATACTGTATAGTAGCAGCTGGCAGTCAGCCTTGTAATAGTGTGGCAGACAACTTATATTCCATGTATATTATATTGTTAACATATTGACTATTATGCTTTCACATTATATAATATCAAATGCCTAGCTATATACATATGTGAAATGTCCAATGCTTTATCAAATAAAACAATCTTTATGAATTAAAGGAAAAAGAAGTTTTCTTTTGAAACATACAGATCACTCAGCTCATGTTGGATTCACCCAATCAGTAGTTGTATAGTTCCATTGTAGTGTCAAGTGAGTATCATTGTAGCATTACTTTGAAAGCTGTTCTCATTAGTCACTACACCATTCACAGCCATGTTCTATTCTTTATAACAATAAGTCTTTCTTATAATAGTACCCAAGGACTTCTCTCTTCCTGTGAGTATTCCATGGCTCTCCTCATTAAAATGAAAAACAGGATTACTTACTTTTTAGGCTTGTATAGAGTACATATCCATTTCAGGTTTATGAGAGTTAGTGCATTTTTTCGGCAAATTAAATTTGCAGACCCTCTGATAGGGATCAGAGGGTCCTTATCAGAGATAAGATAAATAAAGCTCCTGTTTCCTTTCAAGAAGAACAAAGATGATGGGGGGGGGGGCGAGATTCAGAGTCATTTTGTAATTGAGATGCTTTCCACAAAGTAAGAAGAGAGTTGAAGTGATAGACAATTTGAAAGAGGAAAGCATCTGCTTCTAAATGTTCATAAACTTGAGGCATCTCCACTATAGTCATTGACTCTGGAACATTGCAAAGAAGGGAAATGGCCAGATCCCTGATCATATACTTTGTAGTTATAGGCAAAAGACAACAAAAAACTTCTGTAGAGAGACATCTGCACACAAATATTAGTAGCAGTAGTGTTAACAATAGCCCAAAATTCAAAAGAATAAAAATATCTATTAAACAATGAGTGTGTAACCAAAGATGCTTTTGTTTTCATTGGAACAAACTTTCTAAATTGATTTAAAAATACAAATTTTAATTTTAAATTCTGCGCTGTACCCTATAGGTTGTCTACCTATTTTATAGTAAACCAAACATGTTAAATCAAAGAAGAGTTCTAATACCATGAAATATATATCCTGATAATTTGAAAATATTAGACATAGTCTGGACTGAAGAACAAAGCCCTACAAATCATATGGAATCATAGCATAGAAAAATATTGTAACTTTTAGGGGAACAACTACTTACATATTCCATTGTTGGTTGTGGTATATCATGTAAGTAAGTTAGGTGTAACATTAGGAATTTATCTAATAGAAAAGAAACCGCTCTATTTCTGTTGGTAATTTTGACACAGGGTCTTTCTCATTCTGATTTGAAGATGGATAAACATGTACTCTATACTGTGATGTTAACTCTTTTTCTTTATGTTGTTGTCAAAATAGCTACTTCTTAAGAGCTGTTGGGAAGCTCATATCTTCTCTTAAAATCATTACACATAGCTAATTCAAAGAACAATACAAAGCTAATCAGGAGGCTGAGATCTGGGGATCATGGTTTAAAGTCAACCTGGACAGGAAAACCCATGAAACTCTTCTCTCAAATTAATCAGTAACAGTCTGCAAGTGGAGTTATGGTTCAAGTGGTAGAGAGTGAGCTTTGAACAAAATAGATAAATGACAGTATCCAAGTCATGAGTTCAAGCCCCAGTACTGGTACAAAAAATGTAAAATGTTTAAATCTAGGTGACAGAAAAACTGAATTTCAGTGATGTTTCAGCCACTAGTAGTAGAAAACTAATAGGGAAACTTTTATAAAAAGGAATAGCTTAGAAGAGCTGAGTCAAAATCCTCTGTCACCCTGTGAATTCTTCCTCAAAAAGTAAAAGCAAGAAAGAAATATCGATAATTATGTTTGCTTTGGAAAAATTCATGTGGTCTAATATATGTGAGCACAAACTGCGTTTACCTTTGTTGTGAGCCTGCCCAAAAGAATAGACTTATACCAACATCAAATACAGTGAAAGCAGAGGTTATACCATGGGGGAGGGACATACACAGCAACAAATTGATCATCTTATAAATATGTTAGAAACAATCGCAAGAAAGAAAAAAAACATTTGATGTTGGTATAATTTGTGGAGGGGAAGGGAAAAAACAAATTGTTCAAATAAGGATACATGTGGACCCATTGCAACAATGAGATGTGCAAGTCGTTACGTCGAAAAACGAACTTTACAACTTTGGCTGGGGGTGGGAGGGGGTGGGAGATGGGAAGGAATGAGTAGGGGAAACAAAGGAGGAGGCTACAATGCTTGATAAGAAATGTACTCATTACCTTGCCCATGTAATTGTAACCCCTCTGTATGGTATTTTCACAATAAAAATAAAAATGAATAAATAAATAAAAATAAAATATCTACTATTCATGTAATGCAAAAAGAATAGACACATATATGCTTGGCCCAATAAAGCATGTCCTCAAACTCCTAATTGTCCAAGGTATTAATTGAATAATAAACATAACTAATCTAAATAGATTCTCAGAAAAATATCTGGACTCAATTTGTGGACTAAATAATATACTTACTAAAATTACTTCCACATTTTATGAAGGCTAGATAGAAATATTGATGCAAAACATAAAATATTTATTTTATTACTGATCACTTAGCTATTGGATTGTATAGTTTAGAAAATCTAGAGAGAGAGAGATTCTACATGTGCTTAAATATATCTTCACTATTTTCTTAAATGTAACTGTCTCAATATCACTTTCTTTACAGATTCCTTTACCTGCTTATTCCTAAGACTGTAGATGATGGGATTTGAGAATGGTGGAATGACGGTATAGAAGATGGAAAGGATGATGTCCTGGAGTGTTTCAGAGGCTACCGAAGGCCTTAGGTAGACACAGGAGATGGAACTGAGGAAAACAGTTACCACAAGGATGTGAGGTGTGCAGGTAGAAAAGGCTTTTCCTTGTTCTCTAGTTGGTAATTTGAACACAGTAGAAAAGATTCTAATGTATGACAAAGCCATGAAGACAAAACAGCTACCTCCAACCACCAAGACAGACAGAAGCAGCAAGAGCTTATTGCTGAAGGTGTCTGAGCAGGACAGCCTCAGCAGAGAAGGGATATCACAGAAGAACTGAGGGACCATGTTGGACTGACAGAAGGACAGCCGTAATGTGTTGCCAGTGTGTACAGCAGCATAGATGAGACCACTGAGTATTGAAGCCAGAGTGGTCTGTACACAAAACTTGTGGTTCACAATGACAGGGTAGTGGAGAGGCTGACAAATGGCCACATAGCGATCCCGAGCCATGATAGTCAAAAACAGAATTTCCACATAAGCACAATAAATGACCAGAAAAATCTGTGTTGCACAGCCAGCAACAGAGATGACCCTGTTGCCAGTGAGAGAGTTGACACAGGCATTGGGAACAGTGAGAGAAATGTAGCACATGTCCAAAATAGAGAGGTTTCTGAGGAAGAAGTACATGGGTGTGTGCAGGTTCTGGTCAATGGTGGTGACAGTGATGATGATGAGATTCCCCAACAGGGTGGCCAGGTACATCATCAGGAACAACATGGAGAGCAGGAGCCTGAGCTTCCAGTCCTCACCAAAGCTCATGAGGAGGAAATATGTCACCATGGTGGAATTGGCCATCTACTGATAATGCTGGTTTTCAGGAAAAATGGACATAAAAGGAAAGAAATATTAAGTTAGCAAAGATGCAAACATAAAAGGGATCCAAATAGGGAAAGATGAAGTAACACTCTCCCTCTTTGCAGATGACATGATCTTGTATTTAAAGAATCCCATGGACTCCACTCCCAAATTACTCGAGTTGATTCAAAACTTTGGCAAGGTAGCAGGGTATAAAATTAACCCTCGAAAATCAATGGCTTTTCTTTATGCCAACAATGAGAAAAGCGTGGCTGAAATCAGGAAAGCAACTCCATTTCTAATAGCCCCACAAAAAATAAAATAAAAATAAAATACCTAGGAATTAACTTAACCAAACATGTTATCTCCCACCATGTAGAAAAGGGCCACCAATAGGTCTTTTATTTCCTCATCCTCTCTGGGGAATACAGTATTCCAGGGGCCACAGGACCCTCACTCATTTCCTCCCATTAGATCCAATAGTATATTATTTATATTAATGAGCATTGACTTAGGTAACATTGAAAAATCTATGTAAGAACATAAATTTCAACAATTAATTTCATTAGAATTTGGACAACACATTCAAGTTAGACATTGACACACAAAAGAGGTGCAATCCTCTGAATGTGGTTTGTGAATCACTGAAAATCATGATTTGTTCATTGTTAATCTGGAGAAGTTCTGTATTGATATAAGGGCTTCCAAATCTTCATAACATTTAATATTTCATGAAATGTAATTCTGTGGTGTTTAGGATAATATTTTCTTGCCATTTTTATTTTTTTCTCGGTTGTGGGGCTTGACCTCTGGGACTGGGTGTTGTCCTTCAGCTCTTCAGCTCAAGGCTAGCACTCTAACACTGAGCCACAGTGCCACTTCAGATTTTGTTAGTGGTTTACTGGAGATAAGAGTCTCACAGACTTTCCTGACTGGACTGGTTTGAATCACGATCCTCACAGCTGAGCCTCCTGAGTAGCTAGGATTACGTGCATGAGCCACCTGTACCCAGGTTTGTTTGCTATTTTTAAGATATTCATAGCAATGTGTTTATTTTGATTTTCAAAATAATAGTTCCACAGAGAGTACTGGAAAGTGAAAACATGCATTCACTAAAGCTTGCCATTGTCTAGTTGAAGCAAATATTAGTAGAGCAATTATGAAAAAATACTCTGTAAATAATTACTATGTACTTTTGAACAGCCTAAAGTTACATATTTGAGCTAGATATTTTCATGATAATTTAAAGACTTTTTCAATCTTTGGGGGTTATATTTTGCAATTTTGTGCAGTGTTTCCTATATAACTCTGGCTATGTAAATTTGTATTCTTGTATTGATCTGTCAGAGAACTAATGCCAGTCCATTGTTTCACACTCAAGGCTAAATCTTTTCTATGATCATTTCCAGTATACTTAACAAATTCTTTCTTTCCTATGTATGTTTTAGATTTGACCATCTTGTAGTTAGATCACCCACTGTTCCCTGAGTGAGACAATAGTCATCAGTTTCTATCACCATTTTAATATCAAAATCCATGCTATATTTTAATATGATTGTTAATTTGGGAAATACTGTTCTACTGTGTAAATACCACTGTGAACATAAACAATCTACTTTTAAAAAAGTGTTGTGACAATAAGTAAATGTTTTCATTTCCAACAAAATTATTTTCAGCCTTCCCGTTTTATGAATCTTGCACTGTTGATTCCCAGCTTTGGCTACCTCCCTTTCATGATTTCATTTCTGTTTCTAGCAGATTATCCAAGATTATAAACAATCCCTTCACTGTTCAGTTAACTCATTTTTCATCCAGAACTTTCTGGTCTTAAGTTTTTACTCAAAGTTTTTAGTGGGATAATTTTAATGTCTTTTGTCTAAAAAATGGTTGTCTTTGACTTCCTGATGCTTTCCATACCTTTTTTCTTTCTGCTACCTTCCTTATTGTAAAGATACTGCACAGAGTTACAGTTTCATGAGCAAGGTAATGAGTCCATTTCCTATCAAGCATTGTTACTTCATAACATTTTAACAGGATACACACAAAAATTTACAAATTTTGCTGCAACTAACAGCAACAATTAGGAAACAGCTATCTGCAGTTAAATTCTCTGACAGGCCTAATTGATTTTATTTACTATCATAGCTGATTGGTCAATGACATGTTTTTGTCTTCCACTTATTTGCAAATGACTAACTTGAAAATAGACGTGTTCCCCAAAGTCATAATTTATATTATATGTACTTTGAAATAATTTGTCATTTTCTCTATGATGGGTAATGACACATTCTACTTTAGTTAGTTGTTTCAATCATCCCCAACCTACTCCAGGTATGGAGATTTCTAGAAGAACAAGGAAAATATTGAAAATGGTAATATTTTCACTTTGGGAGAAAAAAGCATAATACAACATACCTTAATGTAAATAAATGTGAGAAATGCAGTCAAGAAGTAGTGAGTAATTCAATATGCTATAACTTTGAAGTTTTTTCACTAATTTGAATTTTTAAATATATAACATTCATGGAAGTTGATACACAGCATTAAAAGGAGGCATTTTCTTCTCTTTACACTAAATCATTTACACTGCTTGTACTGATGATGGATGCCTGGATTTGCAAGCACTATAAAAGCATTTCTGAGCTTTACCCACATGCCCCAATAATTTTTGTGTCTTTTATGTAACTTAGTAAATTAAGTAGATAATTCAAATAAAGTGGTATTACTTCATGCGATCTATTATTAGAATGAACAAACGGTTTTAATTTGACTTTTTAGTTAATTAGAATCTTAGGAGATGTTGCCTTAAAACAAAGTCACATGTAAAGACTGACGAAATATACAAATTATATCTAAGTTTTCATGACAAGATAAATAAGTTTTTGTTTTATTAACCCAGGTTGCTTTTAAATAAAAGGATGTGGTTCCCTTATATTTGAACAATTGACTACCTCCCTCCTTGTAGCTTTCAGGTATGTACCACTGCATCCTGCCCTGAATTTGACATTTTAAGCAAAAAGAAATAAAATATATTTTATAGGTATTGGAAAAATTATTTAGATATGAAATTACAAAGTATATTGTTCTAAATTGACCTACTGTCATAGAAAACTATTAACTGCACTATGCTAAAATAACTAACATAAGTCAGTAAAAGCACTCCAACAATATCTATCTAAATCAATACTTTCATGAATAAATACTTTTCTGCCTATTGGTCATCTATCACTTCTTCTATATGCTGTTTGTGGCTTTTAAGTCAATGTCCTCTTTTATCTTTTTGCAAGTTATCACAGGAGTGATGTTCAGCTTTGATAGGTGAAAATCCATGAAGTATTAGCATTAGATAGTCACCTATTGCAGGAGTCTTTGGAGCACAAGTCGTGTAATAGCTGAGGGGTCACGACCTATACACACACACACACACACACACACACACACACACACACACACACACACACACACACAATACATTGATGCCCAGTAAGTGAACCATGATAATAGTGAGGGATGACTATAGTACTCGAATCATTTTTTTTAATTTTGGAATTAATAGAGTTAATGTAAACAAATATTAACCACATATTTATATTGATCTTATCTGTGAGATATGAATCCACTACCATGTCTCATATCACTATGGTGGCATTGGAAATCAATGCAAACATCATAATAAAGGAAACAGATTCCTGCTCTCTATCATCTTTTAAAGAAATATCTTTTATTTACTTAGCTAACTTTCTCAAAATCATTGCTATAAAAAGAAATTTTTTCTTTTTTTCTTTTTTCTTATATATATTATTGTAAAAATACAGAGGAGTTACAGTTACGTGAGTAAGGTAATGAGTACAATTCCTATTGATCATAAAAAAGTAAACATTAGCATTGCATTTATAATCTTAACACAAGTACTTATTCTTAAATATTTCATGGTCTTACATGAGAGAAGATGTCAAAGTTTTTATTACCTTCTCCAAGTCAGTAGACTTGGAAGTATCCAAAATAATTTAAACAATTTGTACCACACAGACAGGCTTGAAAATATCTTCAGAGAAACAAAGAACCATTCTTACATTGTATAAAGATGTCAATTATGTCCTCTTTTATATTAAAAATGTATATTCCCATACAGTCTCTGAAAAACCCTGGGGAGCTTATCTTCTCTATTCAGGGACATCAGTATACCCAAGAGTAACTTGTCAAAGGCCATCATTTCCAGAACACAGGTAAGAAAATCCAGTTAATAAGAGTGGACAATGGGATTGAAATGTTGTGAATACTTTTACCTGTACAAAGCTATAAGTAGTTTGAAAATGCAAGACTTAATAAACTTAAGAATAATATTAACTCAGTCCTCAGGAGGTCTATCATGGGTATGTGTATGTGTATGTGAATTTAGAAACTAACAATTAATGAACTCAGATAACTCATTTCATGAAGTAGTGGAAAGTTTAGAAAGACAAATACCGAATAATTATACTGAACCAAAAATAAATAAACTCCCTCAAAGAAGAACTCAAGATCTGAAAGTTTCACTGTTAATATAAAACACCAATTTGTTTCACACTTTGAAAATACCTTAAAATGAGAGAATTCCCCCAAACTCTATCTACAATGCCAACATTAACACCTTAGACCAAAATCAGACAAGGTCATAAAAAGATTCAAAGACAGTCTAACATTCATGATAAATAAAAATGATTTTTTCATAAAATACTTACAAGAGGTACTCATCAATATTTTAAAAAGTCTTTACAAAAAAAGTCTTCACAAAATAACTGTTTTGCCATCGGGATATAAGGATGGCTTGACAAATAAAAATGAATGTTGAACAAACCCTATATGGTCATTTCAGAGACACAGAAAAATAATTTAACAAAATTTCATATCTTTCTATTTCAGTTTTGAGACAAGATCTCACTACATAAGCTAAGCTCATCTGCACATCCCTATGTATAGTTTTGCTTGCCCTCAAAGCGTGAACCTCTTGCCTCAACACTCTGACTGCAAAAATGACAGACGTGTACCAACACACCTGGCAGATATTTTCCTATTAAGCACTCAGCAAATTAGGGACATGTAGAACACACCTCAGTACAAAAAAGGTCACATAGGATGAGCACACGTGCACATAATACTAAATCTAAATAATTTTAACATTTTCTAATTATTAGAAGGGTGCTCTTTATCATCAATTCTATAGAGTATGTCACTTGAAGTCTAAGGCAGAACAATGACATAGGAGAATAAAAGACATTCATTTAAACTAATCAAGAAGGTACCTAGTTGCTTTCTTTGCAGATGATATGATTTTTTTTTTTTTTTTTTTTTTTTTGGTTTTCGTGGAACTTGAAAGCTGGGCCTGGGCACTGTCCCTCAGCTCTTCAGTTCAAAGCAAGAGCTCTACCACCTGAGCCACAGCGCCACTTCCTGATTATGTGATTTTTAAAGACAAAATATTTAAAGACCCTAGAAATAAACTGTTAATGCTAACCAGTTTGATTAAAGGCATAGTATACAAAATCAATGAACTTAATAATAAGAGTATTTGTAAACAATACTGGGAAGCTGTTTAAAATAAAATTATTTTTTATAATACTTTAAAATTCATGGGAATAAAATCCAACAAGCTAAAAGATTCCATAGTGAACATTATGAAATATTGATGAAAACAATTGAACACACAAATGTAAAGATGTTCCAGGTAAAGTGTTGAATAAATTAATAATATCAAAATAGCCACACTTGTCCCTAAAACCTATAAGGTCAATTAAATACATATTAGAATTTCAATGATATTCCTTACATTCATCAAGATATATTGTAATCATTATTTGCTTTCTTAAATGGCAACTCCTTTGTACAACTACTTAAAGAAAAGAAAAATAGATAAAAAGGTTCAAATCAATTCTGAAGTAAAAAGTAAACCACATAAAAGCAATCGTTATAAAAAATATTTAAGTGAGAATATTACAATATCTGACTTCCAAAGATGTTGTAAAGCTTTATTATTTAAAGCAACATGTCACCCTCATAAAAATAGATTAATGGAATTTAACAGGAGGAATAGAAACATATCTATATCCTGAAAACTGAATTATTTTATGTTTTGTAATATTATGTATGAGCAATACTTAGAGTTGTAGATAAATGTGAAATATTCAACTAAATATTAAACATAATATTTTCTTTTTATATATTGAAATATTTTATTTTTTATAAATATCTAGAAAAACAAACTGTTAGCATGATCTTTTGGTAATCTTCTGAGTGCTTAGCATTTCCTATTAATGTCCTATAATTAAGCTGTATGGTAAAGTATCAGCTCTATTGTACAGCCCTGCCTATATGTGTTTGTTCAACTAATTGACTGAGCAGAGAAAAGTGAATCTATTAAAGTTTTCTTGAACATCAAAATTAATAAACAGGTAAGTAATAAAAAAGGTTATATTTAATCTTATGTAATGTTCTAATTTTTTTTAACTGTTTTTGTTTAGTTCCTTTATTAAAGTGTTTTCCCATATCTTTTAGTACAAATCTTTAAAAATGTTCCCCTAATTCTTTTTTATTTATTTTCTTTGTATTTATAATCCTTAAGCAGCTGTCCAGTACTATTTCAATTCAATGCATTAGTTTGTTAGTGTAGTACATTTTGATCAGTGTTACTTCTTTCATTATTCTTCCACGTATCTTCCATCCTCATACATCTCCTCAATTTTCTTGGCTCCATTTTCACATATTGAACTAACCTTTGTTCCATTGAAAATCCAAACTTATCATGGTTCGGCTGAATCCTTCTGCATCTTTATAAAAACATCCAAATTCTCCAAAGAATGAATTTATTAGCATCAAGTTAAAATAAACACATCTTCCAACCACTTTCAACTCAAGGGAAACACAGAAACCACCCAATAAAATGTCGAATATTATTCAGCACCCTGAATTTGTGTTACGCATTATTAAATGCTAATCATATTTACTTTTATACATGAGAATAATTTGTCTAAATCATACCAATGAATTTGCCAGCTTATAGAAGAGTTATGTAGAAAAACACTACAGTATAATTTTTCTTACATTATGAAATGACTTTGGGTCTTTGATGCTTTCTGAAAAGGAAGCAATTAACCATATTCAGAGTCTCAATTTATTTGAAATAAATTCTTCCCCTTCTGTTAGAATGTTGGAAGCATGTGGCACTGTGTGCAACACACCCACAAAATCATACTCTTTGATACTTCAATTGAATACTTCAAAAAGGAACACAATGTCAAGACTGAACTAGAACTTTGATTATAGGAAATAAATCAGCTCAGCAAATTTTTGGAATAAATAATCAGCATATGAAACTTGATTGCATTGTCTATCTAGTAAACAAATGAGGTAAAATGAAATTAGTAAAAAATTCCGTTTACAGTCACAACAAAATTATTTACTACTGAAAAATCAACAAATGTACAAATTCACACTCAGAGCACTAAAGAACCATCTTGAAGGAAGTGAAGAATAGTCAAACAAAGAGTAAAATGGACCACAGGATGAAAGATTTACTGTTAATTCTTTGAGGATTTGTTGTTGGGGATTTAATTTTTTTAAGTTCTAAGTATATTTTAGATATGAGACCCTTGTCTGTTGTATGGCTAGTGAAGATCTTCTCCCAGTCCCTGAGCTTGCTGTTGATCTTGCTAGCTATGTTCTTTGCCATGCAGGAGCTCTGCAGTTTCATGTAATCCCATTTGTCCAAACTTTCTTTGATTTGTTGTGTTTCTGGGACTTTATTAAGAAAATTTCAGCCTGTGACAAGAAGCCCTAGACATTGTCCTATTCCTTCCTATAATGTTTTCAGGGTATCTGCTTTTTCTTCAAAGTCTGATCCATTTGGAGTTGATTCTTGTACAAGGTGATATATAAGGGTCTAGCTTTAGTTTTCCACAGGTGTTTAACCAATTTTGTCAGTACTACAACCTCCCGATTAATAAGTGGGCTAAAGAATTAAAGAGAGGAAATATGAAAGGCCAATAGACACATGAAGAAATGTGCAACTTCTCTAACCATAAAAAATGCAAATCAAAACAACAATGAGATTCCACCTCACCCCAGTTAGGATTGCTATAATCAAGAAATCTAACAATAATAGAAGCTAGAGAGGATGTGGCCAAAAGGGAACCCTATTTCACTGTTGGTGGGAGTGTAAAGTTGTTCAGCCACTCTGGAGAGCATTATGGAGGTTCCTCAAAATATTATACATAGAGCTCCCCTATGACCCAGCAATCCCACTTTGAGCATTTACCCAAACGATCACAAACAAAGCCATCTTAAAGCTATCAGCACAACTATGTTTATCACAGCATTATTCAACATAGCTCAGATATGGAACACACCCAGATGCCTCTCAGTAGATGAATGGATCAAGAAAATGTGGCACACACACAAACACACACACACTTTCAGACACACACACACACACACACACACACACACAATGAAATTCTATGCCTCTATCAGAAAGAATGACACCACTCTATTTATTAGGAAATGGAAAGACTTGGAAAAATTATATTAAGTAATCCAGACTCAAAGAAACATAGGTCCCATGGTTTCCCTTATTTGCAATAACTAGTATATGTCTAGAATAATCTTACCAGATAAG